TGTGTAACGATATTTTCCTGACGTCACAGAGCTATTATAAGAATGAACATATCAATTTCCAAAGTACATCCATGGAGCAATGACATCTTGACAGCATCTATCTATCATTCTTTCTCACTGAACTTATTTGAGATGACCTCATGGTTACCAGTGCAGAATTAGTTAGCTATGAGTGACAAAAATCCTGTACCTTTCACGTCTCCAGAGCTCAAAGGGTGTTAGCTGAATCTGGGTCTTCTAAACCCATTCAGGTTTCAGGATCCTCTGTGGTTTGGTAAATGCAGCGTTTCTTCAGATGATTGTGTCGCATGTGCTGACATACTCGGTGGATCTTTAATGCCAATCACCATTAAGGAGGACACATGTGGCAGCTAGTCTTCTTTGCTCACCTGACACTGACTAGTGCTTGTATAATAGCTGATATAGGTTGTTCATCATTCAACAGCCATTTGAGCCATGGGTAGTTATTTGAGTATTTTTTGGCAGTTGCATTTCTTAGGCTAGGCCTCCATTTCTGCTTCTAAATGAAAACAAGGTTTGCAGAGTAGATCTGTATTGTCATTTGAATGCTTTTTCTGAATGTTCAGTGACTACAGCTTTTTCTTACAGCTGTTATAAGAGGCAAAAGCCCAAATCAGTGGGTTTAATAATGCAAATGAAACCAAATCACTCAGAGCTGCAACATCACAATTCAACAAGATGGAGCCAAAAATTCAGTATGACCATATGGAAACCGTACAACGTTGAAAGTGTTTGTTACTTTAATTCTGAGAAGGAAAAGGCAATAATTTGTAAAAGACCTTGATGGAGATGTTATACAATAAACAGCAAAGTAAATAACTGTAATGATTTTATATATACTTTATATAAAAAGAACCCTTCCTGAAAACATTAGCATTTGAAAAGCATATTGTTTGTGGACAATCTAACAAATACCGTTAAGTTACTTAAACGTATTGTTGCTCAATAAATTATTCTTACGTTGGGATACTGAAAATCCAAGGAATTCATTGAACCCATACCATACATCCCAATTTGTCTCTTCAATTAGTATGATTATCATAACACTCTATAAGACACTGTAAAAACCTACCGGCTTAGGCAGCCTCTCTGGCATTCCTCATAGGTGGAGCTCTTTCACCCACAAATTTAACTGATCTTTTTTTCGCTTCACTTTTCACAAACTACAGATACAAACACCATGTGTGTTAGCAACATAATGCACTGAATGACAACTTGATTCTCTATTTGAAATATTAGAACAAAGAATAAGTGATTATTAAAATTATGACTGACTTTAGGAGTCAGTAGTACTTGGCATTCATGTAAGACTTGTTCTCAAAGAGCAGAAATAAATTCCATAGGCAAATGCCACATACAGCCTCACCCTCCATTGGTCATGGCTAATAACCTGCCCATCATACCAGAGGACAAAAGGTGGCCGTACAATAGAGCAGTCAGTCCCTAGAGCTTTCCCAGGAAGCTTCACGCAGCGGTGCTAGACAGGCTTGTGAGAAAGAGGACTAATGCTACATTACAGTAAATATTAACAAGCTGTTGGGCCTAAAGGGCCCAATCCTGAATGCATTCTACAAACACATCTCCTGTTGACTTC